GAGAAAAAGAAGCAAAGTGCAGTGGGACCAATCGTCGTGAAGCCTTTATCTTCAGATTGAAAGCGAATTGGGCCGGGTAGCTTTTGATTTGTGAAGGATTCTAACGATGAGGGTATGATTGGACTTCTTCGATTCAGGTTCCCTCTGCATGGCCAGAAGGACTTCAGTGATGTCAATCTCTGAGTTCTGGGCCAGGGTTTAGGGCCGGGTTTTAAGGTTCAGGTTTACATAGGATTTTTTGGGGGGGTTGTGGAACCCTGGCTTTTATAGCTGTGGGTTTGGTCCGAAGGCTGTATAATATATGGTGTCTAGAGAGCCCAATACGCCTTAAGTGAGGAAGGTACCTTCCACTATGGGAACTTAGTTTTACGAGGTTTTAGGAATATTCCTAGTGTACAGCAGGAATATACCTGAAACGATTGGGGGGAAGAGCAATTCTGATGTGAGGCAAAAGCTTCCATTAACAGGTGTAGCTCAAACTACTAGGGACGTGGTCTTATGGTTGTTAATCCATTCCCCTGAGCTCTAAAGGGGTCTTGGTTGGATGCTGCCCCTGCACAGTAACAGTTGAATCGTGATATTCTCGCAGTAAATCGTACCATTGTTGTAGACCCTAAGGTTCAACATAGCCCAACAGCCTTATATAGTATGGTCTTTTGGGCCTTAATGGCTTAAAACATGGGTCTTTAGAATCTTAGAGAGAAATCCATGGAGTCCCGAAGCAAAAAAAAGAGATCCCTATAGAGACACTGTGACTGTTTAGGGTTTAGGGTTTGGGGTTTGGGGTTTGGGGTTTAGGGTTTAGGGCCCTAGGTTGGAATCCTTGGCCGACGCAAACCTCGCCACTCGCGATGGCTACTCTCCCTTGAGGCTGGCCTTCGAGCAGCCAGGCTCTCGATTTAGCCTTTAGGGTTTAAAGGGTTTAAGATAAAGGGTTTAGGGTTTAGGGGTTTAAGGTTTCGGGTTTATAGGGGTTTAGGGTTTAGGGTTTACCCATATCCCCCATAGTAGTTCCTTTTGGGGGTTCATGTTTAGAATCCTATATAAGGTAATCCCAAGAAGGAGCTACTATGGGGCCTATTGGTAGGGGCATAAATATGATTGCCAATACTATTTCTGGAGGGCTTCCTGATGGTAATCCTAGCATATTATGCCCCGTTTCGAGTTATTGAGGCCCTTACATGATGGGGTTTAGGGTGTGAGGGGCGGAAGGTGTCAGAGTTCATAGGTTGGATACCGCCCGGCCCTGTTATAGACTGGTACCGTATGGGGGCAGTACCCAATTCATAGGGTTTGATGAGAGAGAGTGGTTCAGGGGCTTCGGGGTTGAGGGTTTTGAGTCTGGTTGGGGCTAGACAAGTTTAGGCCGTGCGCCGGGAAATGTGATTTTTTGCATTCCGATACATTGTCTCTGACTCGTTTTCATTGCAAATAAGCACGGTTTGTGGGTTGTTGCCACATGTTGGGACGCAGGGAGTTCTCTAACACGACATCTCCCTCCGCATACACCAGAGCCGTCAAAACACCCAGAGTGTGTCTGGCAACGTCCAGTGTGGAAAACGACAGGGGATGTATGACACTTTCATCTCAATGTGGGGGCCCTTGTATTGCCCCCCCCCCCCCCCCCC